CATTAGAGCCTATCTACCTACTATCTGCATAACTTATGAATAAACCATTTCACATAAACTGCGAACGATTAAGAACGTGATGAAGTCAAGTATCCATGTTGAGGGCTTGTTCCCACGGCGACATCCCGTTTTTTGCAGGATCCCGTTTACTACTTTTAATACTGAACCGACAAAAACCGAACCGTTCAAATTTGGAATTCGAATTTCACACACACACCTGTGTGTTCACGAACTGATGAAGGTCGCGGGAGATGCCAGGGTGCGGGCGGCGTAGGACCGGTCTTTGTGGAAAACCTTGGGGGAGGCCTTCGTCCAGCAGTGGACGTCTTTCGGCTGAAAAGAACGAACGAACGAACTGTGTGTTTACACGACAGCCCAGTTTGCAGGACCCTGCAATACTGGATTCTGCCATGCTAGATTGCCGTGGGAACAAGCCTCGTATGTGCAAGAGATATTGGACAATTTATTATGTTAAATCGATAGAAATCAATTGCAATGCGAAAAATTTCCACCTACCTTTACGCACTCGTCGTTTTCCGCGGCAGCGTCGGGAGAGTACCTGAATAGTAATGTCAACAACTGTAGAAACGTTTCATTTGTATAACATGTTTTATGGGCATCAGAAAGGTTACAATTTGGTATAAATATGCAGTATTGGAGCAATAAATAATGTCAACCTATAATTTAGTTAGCTAGTTAGGAAGGTACTAGGAAATATTGATAAATTTTTCTTTCAGTATTATCGAGGAAACATGTCGCTTGCCATTATTGAACTTCAAATTTAACAAGTTTGACTTATGAGTCTAAAGGGGGTCGTGGGAACCTTCACAATATTGACTTCAGGAAACAAAATAGACTAAAAAACTTACCTAGTTCCTGCCCGCCCTTCACAAGTATCCGTGAGAACAATAATCACTTTTAACAAAACAATTTCAGATTTAATTTAACCACCACAAAACCGAGTCACTATCGCACTAAAAACAAGTTGGATTTGACAGGAGGCTGTCAAAATCTCCGATAACAGTTTAAAGCGCACGCGCCGGCACGTGGCAGTTGACAGTTGACAGGTCAGGCGCGGTGAGCTGTCAAATTGAGCGGCGGCAGAGAAAAATGGCAAGCGGTCAGTGTATTGTTCCACAAATTGACTTTCTCCTGAGGGTCAAGTAGACATTGCAATTGGAATTCAAAATTTACCGTAAATGACACCACCACACCAACACACCACAGATTATAGCACAAAAAAAATTTCATCGTCTAGTGACACAAAGAAAATCATAATTATACAGCCGAACGTGACTGTAGGTAGGTAATTAAAAAAATTAAAGTATTGTAGTTTTTTAGGCTCTTTTTATTATTTTATTTTAATTGCCTAAATTACATTCAAGTTTTTTACTTTTTCTATTAGGCTGTTTGCGCGCCAACTCAACCTTACATTATCAGTGCTATTTTTATAATCTGTGGACAGGCTCAGCAATACGGGCAGGCCTGGCTCACTCCGCGCGGTACATCCGATAATTACCTACAGCGAAGCGCCCCGCCGGCGGGTATTATATCAGTCGAGTGTCACGCGCGCGCTCGTCAGGACGCTGGCGTGTGTTGTAGTATGATTATAATTCTATGATCGAAGTATTATTTAAAAATGGACATAAAGAGAAAGAAATATTGTGCGGCGTTCGGGTGTTTAAATTCGAAAAGTAATCTACCGGATTCATCTTTTTTTTTTGCTTCCTAAAGATGCTGAAAGGTATGTTGGCCATGTAGGTAATCAATAATTCTTAGGATAGTATAGAAACCTAACCTACTATGACTACTGCTCAGAATGCGTTCGTTCGTTTCAGCCAAATGACGTCCACTGCTGGACAAAGGCCTCTCCCAAGGTTTACCATAATGAATGCATACTTACCTACATACGTAGGTCATTACAAATAAGTAGATTAAATATTTTTTCACTAGACAGCAACCCTAATAGCGTAAGAAGAGTTCAGAGGCACGCGATAGAAAGAGACAAAACTTGTAGGTGAATAAAATTGTAGGTTACGTAGTGCTGTGCGAGCTGAATTCCACTGTATCGCGTCGTAGCAAGACTCGCATTTATTTAAATCGTCTTGCGGAGTAATCCTTCTGTACCTGTACTATTACTTATTCTGTGATACGGGGGAAAATTAACGCGCCAATTTGCGAAGCTTTTAACTCTTTTTAGTAATGAAAAACAAAAATACTCACGTTTGATTTTAGTTCCATTTTTAAATTATTTGGCTTTCTTCGGGCTTTGAAAATTTGAAAAAGGAAAATCCTTTCTGTTTACATTTCAGGATCTATGAAATAATTATGACAAAGCTTAAATTATACGTTGTTTTGCTAAGAAACTACATGAAAATGTCTTGAAATTATCCACGTATGGTTGTAACATCACTTTACCCACCCTATAATCAACAATTCACCACGTAGACCCTTTCCTACATACTTACTTACTAAGGCAAATCAAAGTACTCACTGTAGCTTCTTAAGCAGTTGTATTAGGTTCGATTTTACAATAAAATGTAGTCTGATGTCATGTTGACTGTACGTGACAATGTCTAGCCAGTAATTATGGTGTGTGGGTGTCACTCACTACACCCTTCGAGCGAGTAAATAATAATTACGACATAAGCCTTGGGAAATTATTCACGATGAAAACGTGGAAAGTTTGTCGAATGAATACTTACTGAAGGCGGGTAATTTTCTCTGTATTGTGGCTGAAAGACAATTTTCGTAATGAAAATCAGGTTGTATTAAGCTATAACTTTAGAAGACTATATTTGCATACACACATTCTAGTTAAATAATAGTTGCCTATTAAAAGAAGATGGTCAAAATCTTTATTCTTTGTTGTAGTACAAAAATTTAACTAGGCACCAATAAATAGGTATTTAAATTTATTTTCCATTTTAATTACAAAACAGTATTATAGTAGGTACCTTTGGCCAATATTATCATTATTCCTGTCAGGGTTCCAAAATTTAAAAATGCAGCTTTTCAATCGAATAAACTTTATTGCCTGTCTTAATAATATTTACCCGACTGCGCCAGAAGGAGGGTGGGTTATGATTTTAGGTACAATCTCTCATCTACTTACTCCGGTCAACTATGGCTGAGTTGCACCACCTAACTTTAATGGTAACTATAACGATAACCGGTGCCTTTTGGTATGGAATTTCGACAGATTTTTAAGTTTCCTAGACCGCATCCCACTTAACATCAGGTGCGATTGTGGTCAAATACCTGCCTTGTTATGCATAAAAAAAAAGTTTTTCAAAGTTAAAGTAAGATAGTGCAACCCAGCCTAAGTATGTTTAGCCCAGCTTTTTAGAGCCTGTATCTTTGGTCACCAACATAAAAACTTATTTCATCCTCTCAAACCAAAAAACAATATTCATAACTCGCACCGATTTTTAAGTCTCACTCTCATTTGTTGTCAAAACCCTTCTCATGCCAGTAGTGGGATAGGATAGGTGTATTTATTAGTCATGATTGTGTTTGCATTGAAAACAATCGGCCCTGCATCCGACGCGGTGTTTATTTTGCCTCGTTTTGTCATAATGACGGGGCGGAGGTGCCGAGTTGGTATCTACAGGAGGTATCGGGTATTGAGAATTATCTTTTTTGAATGTCCGATCGTTTTATACTAAAGTTGTTTGAAAAAGGCGAATAATCACTTACTTCTTTCTAACTGAACCTCTTTGTGATTAAGTAATGACAGAGTTATTTACACTAGTCCTAGTGATTGCCATGTAGTAGCAATAAATCTGTCGATGTAACAAAAAAAACATACTGGGCGAATAGTAGATTCTGATAAAACATATTTTACCTGCTTCATAATCATTTCAGCCATAGTACGTCCAGTGCTGAACATAGGCCTCCCTCAATGATTTCTACAATGACCGGTTGGTAGCAGCCTGCATCCAGCGCCTTCCTGCTACCTTTATAAGGTCGTCGGTCCACCTTGTGGGTGGACTCCTACGCTGCGCTTTCCAGTTCGTGGCCTCCACTCCAGAACCTTGTTGCCCCATCGATTAATTGTAAATTTGTGATCTCAGAAATATGTAGGCTTACGCTCGTATTCACAATCGATGGTAGCTTAAGTGAAGCAGCAGCAATCGAAAGCACAGCGTTGAATAAAGCTCTGTGATTGATTCATATGTCACCATTAATTCATAAAATGTACAGACAAGTTTCTTTAATAATTCGTTATACTTACTATTAATGATTGTTTTCTTACCGCTTTCCCAACACCCTGTATATTCCCACCTATTACCGGAGGGTTCGTCAATTGTTTATGTTATTCCAGCGTATTTTGCCATACAAAAGACAGCAGTTGTTTATTTTATGCCAAATCACTGCCCCTGCGCAGTGATATCTATCAGGCGCATATTTTATTAAAAAACAGGGGAGTGTTCAAGCGTACAGTATGATTGAAGTTATAATTACGAGACCTTTATGACCTACAGAATAAGGTTTGGAATTGCGTTTGTTTATTTTGGGGGTTTTTATGGTGAAATTATTTGATAGTGCTTGAAAGTTGTTATTTTTTGGAATTTAAAAAGCTGTAAAAGTAAAGTGGTGGCGATTACAAAATAAATAAAGATTGAGTCACATTGTATTTGAAAATTCTAATAAAAATAATATTGCCTGTTGCAGCCTGTTGAATTGAATACAGATCTTGAACTATACAATACTTTGTTCTTTATTGCAACAATAATAATTAGCAACATGAAAATAGGCGCCTGTGAACAAACATAAAATTAATTGAACATTATTTTATTAACATTATTAACAGCTTTTGTTAAAAAACTCACAAAGAGAGGACCAAAGACTCTTACTTTGACTTTAACAAACGTCAAAACTCTGTCAAACTCCATACAAATAACACCGGTTATCGTCAAAGTTAGCTAGTGCAACTCAGCATAAGTTCGTTGTTAATAAAATAACCCCATTAGATTTTTAATTATTTATTTAGGCATAATATTTCAATTAAGTTCTAATAGTCTCATCATAACAATCGACTTCCCACAAATATGTTTCATTTACAAATTTTAATTAGCTTCATATAATTTACAATAAGGCCAATGGCCAAGCTCTACATGTCAACATCAATCGACATTAAAAAACATAAAATATGTATGACTTTCATACAAAAAATATTTTGTACACGAAGAAAAATGCTCACAAATATGTAGAATTTTAATACACCTTACATTTACAGGATAAAAAGCCTGAGTATTAAATTGAATCTTCCCACAAGATTAATAATCTCTGTCAATTTGAAAAAAAAAATGTAAAATATTTTTCTGTTATGGCAACACATAAATGCACTTTATGGCCGCCGCGTTCGTACGAACGTAAAAACGCCGCGTTTTAAAATTTGAAAAGACCCTAAAAGCAACATAAAATAAATAGTTATCTACGTTTATTATAATACAGTGGCACATCTCTTATTGTAGGTATTGAACACTTTTAAGAGACATGCCGGAATATTTACAGAAACACCTAATAATATAGAATAGTCGTTGTAATTTAATTTGGACTTTTTGTATAAATCCTATAACTGAACTTTGCTGTGAAAATTATGTAGAGCATAATCAATATGCAGTGAAACAAAAATAAATTAAATATATTAAATTAAATTATCTTGGCTGATTTAAAACAAAATGAAAGTGTAAAAAGCAGTTCTAATGCTGATAATATCATCTTTAATTTCAAAATGATAAAAGTCAGTGGAGGTGAAACCCTTTTCCCAGCAATGCTCAGTTACAATTTTACTCTAAAAATATTTATTAGATAGCTATTTACTATGTACACTTTACAAATATTGAAACGTTACCTACTTCTGTTTATAATATTTCTTAATCCTTAAAACTATAAAAAGGAAAATCAAAGAGGAACTTTGGAAAATCACGAAAGGTATCGTGAGTAGTAAAATAATCACTGATTATTAAAGCGAAAATAAAAACATAAATAAGATAATCAAAAACTAAACAATTTCTACTTAAACAATAAACGAAATCCGCATTGACGTAAGAATCAGCAACCTTAACCGCGTACATTAAACACTGATGCCAAGTTGGTTTATGCACAAAACGCTGCGTTTAAAAACCCGCTGATAGTTACACGAACACGAAAAACAACAATAAAAGTCAGTTTAACAACAACAACGCTTACGTGTCAGGTCAGAATATGACCGTTAGCGGCCTCCTGAATTCTGATCCTCCTTGCGCGGCTTGCGCATACTGTCCTGGGTACTGAGGCATTAAGATGCTTGGTGAGGATTGGTAGTACGGAAGAGAAGGCGAGGGGTTTGACCCTGAGGAGGAGCTGCCTTCAGGCCTGTCTTGGGTCTTTGTAGTCATGTCTGGTGACTCAGCCGGTGACCGCGGCGAGAGACTGGATGGTGCGGAGTTGACGGCTGAGCTGAGTCCGGCCATGGCTGCGGCGGAGGCTTCGGAGTACATCTTGCTGATGTCCATGGGGTAGGAGCGCTGCTGCTGCTGGTCCATGTACATGTACGCCTTGGACAGCGCTGCTGAGTCCAGGTACCCTCGGGAGGGGTCGTACATGCCGTAGCTCCTGTACTTCTCCGCTTCGATCGAGTATTTGGACATGTCCATTGATGAGCCAACCTGTAACAAAAGAAGGTTTGATGAATGTTTTCTATAATTCTAGTTAAAAAGACTTGAAAAGGGTGGAGGTTCTCAATTCGGTTGTATGTTTTTTAATCATTTCGGTTAACGTTTCGGTACTTGTGTTGTACCTCAATATCATGGTCTATATTAGGATTAGAAGACGCAGAAATTTCAAACATTTTATAAAGAGTGTTCAGCCATTGATATTAAAGTTTCGTCGTGGGTGTGAGAATACTAGTAAGGGGGCGTCCATAAATTACGTGAGACTTTTAGGGGGGGGAGGGGGTCAACGAAAACCTCACTAAATCTCACATGGGGGAGAGGGGGGGTCTCGGAAAATATCACGTAATTTTTCCCGCAAGAAATAGAGTAAAATTGCCAGAAAACTGGATTATTGAAGTAAAAAAAATGTTTTTTTTTATGATGATAATGACAATTTATTCTAAACCGTCTAATCAAATTAAACTAAAAATGCCTCCATCTGCATTTGTGAACACTAAAGATGCAGAATAAATGTCGAAATTAATAAAATTCGAAATTAAAAAAAAACGTCATCGGCATCGCTATTGCGTAAAAAATTGGCCAAGTGCGTGTCATGCCACGCGCAGTGTAGGGTTCCGTAGTTGTCTGTCGTTACCACAATATATTTCAGAAGCAAGCAATTACTTCATCTAAAGTCACTTTTCATATTTTCTTCTAAGGATTTTTTACTGGTCAAGAAATTGTATAATACATGAGTCAAATGACTATTACTCTTAAACTAAGTAATGTATCTTAACCGTTATAGTTTTCCTTGAAAAAATTAATCCCCACTTTACATGCAGGGGAGCCACATTAGAATTTTTTTTTTCAAAATTTTATTTTACCGTTTTGTCGGCGTGATTAATATACATACCACATATATATACTGTGTACATACCTTCACAAAATTACAGCTCCCCAGTGCCAATAGTTTCCAAGCGAAACCTCGGACAGACAGACAGACATATCGAAACTATAAGGGTTCCTTGTCAGGACTACGGAACCCTAAAAAATGACATTACATGTACGTATGAAAATATTATGCATTCGTACTAATTCGTAGTTAAAGTAACCAATACTCAAATTTGACAGATGTCAAATGACAAGTGGTTAAATAACGGAAAAAAATGTTTTTATAACAATGTTTAACTTTACTTTTAGTACATTTTTTAACTATTAGTTTACTTACATTTTATTAATATTTAACCATTAGTATCAAAATTTAACAATTAGCTATTTTAACTATGAATCAAAAAACTGGTCCAAGGTTGAAGCAATTGCTTGTCTTACTAAACGACGGGAAGCTACGGAACCCTGCACTGCGCATGGCACGACACTGGGTTACTGATTTTTTCATATAAATCTAATAGACTCGAAGCATAGACATTGCAAAATAGGCATTTTATTAAATATCACGTGAGATTAGGGGGGTGGGGGAGGGGGTCAGGCAAAATCTCACCAAATCTCACCAAGGGGGGCGGGGGGGTTGAAAAATGGCCAAAATTGTCTCACGTAATTTATGGACGCCCCCTAATACACTATTATTCGGTGCATTTGGTGTAATATTGTTTTATATCTAAATATGTATAACTCAAAGGTGACTGACTGACTGACTAATATAGTGATCTATCAACCGCACAGCCCAAACCACTGGACGGATCGGGCTGAAATATGGCATGCAGGTAGATGTTGTGACGTAGGCATCCGCTAAGAAAGAATTTTACAAATTCCACTCCTAAGGGAGTAAAACGAGATCCATGCGTACGAAGTCGCGGGCGGCCGCTGGTTGTTTTCTATAGCAGTAAGTAAACAACCAAATTAATTACATTGAAACGCGTTTAGTTTTTTTTTTTTTATGTGATAGGAGGCAAACGAGCAAACGGATCACCTGATGGTAAGTGATTACCGTCGCCCATAGACACCCGCAGACCCAGGGGCGTTACAGGTGTTTGTATTTACAGTAACGCAGATTAATCAACAATGATGCAACCTCGTAAAGCATTCAGATAATTCACAAATTAAATAATTCACTGAATATTTATTAACGTTTTCATTTCAATGGGATCTGGTTGAACTGCATTGTTCTAATGAGAAGCTTATGTAGTGGTGACAAGATTGAAAATGGTTTGTGTTGGTAAAAGCATAATGCTGCGTTTTACACGGACAAACACACAAATCAATCGTAACAAAGGACTCGGATAATGGCTCGAGTTTTAAATTTTTTAATGAAGTGAGCCCTATACAATATTCTGAGGAAAATATTACTCGATGCTGATACATACAGCCGCTAAGATTTTGGAAAAATACACGTTGGTAATGAAAATAACATTAACATTTCTAAGGATTTGATCTAAGAAAATCATAAAGCTTTTTAGTTAAAACGATTCGAAACGATAAAAGTTTCTTTCATTTAGTCAAATGACATCTAAGCTCAATTTTTCCATTATAGTTTTGGTAACTTTTTGCCCACCCAGTAGGCAGTAGGCAATCTTTTTAAAATGTATCAAGTAAATCTCACTCGCATTCAAAATATTCCATCGAAATCTATTCAAAAATCATAAATCGGTCGTAAACCATTTAGATTTGCTCGCCGTCCGCGCGGTGCGTGTGTAGTCTGCGCGCGCGCATAACGTACGGTCCGCTTTCAGAGCTAGCACGCTAAATCAGGATTAGCCGGACAAGATGACATCAACTATACGCTTTATTGCGGGCCCGCTTAGGGTTGCCAGGTGTCCGGCTTTAGCCGGACATGTTTGGCTTTTTAGGGACTTGTCCGGTCTGTCCGGATTTTGTTAGGCGTTTTATGTGGCTGCTGCGCCAGTCCAAACTCGAGCTATAGAATAATGTTCGTTCGAAGATGACCCACTCATGAGCTATGACGCTAATTGCTTTGCATCGTACGTTAGTTAAAAATGCATGTCCGGCTTTTAGGGTAAAATGTCCGGCCAAATGAAGCACAGAGTCCCTTTTGTGTTTTGGACATGGCAACCCTAGGCCCGCTCGTATTTTACGCCATCTAACTTATACGACAAAACGCCGTATGTCATATCGAAAGTTGTCTCTGGTGTGAGTGACCAATAAACGAATATTTACATCCGTGGCGGCGTGAATAAGGTTTACGTTTTGTTTGTAATGTGTTATAGGTGTCCTTTGAAACGTCTATTGTTGTTTATTTGTGATACCTATCATGTTAAGTAACTAACACAAACTGTTATGAATAACACTAGGTATTCTTGATTTGGATACTAAGGCTGAGTTGCACCACCTAACTTTAACAGTAACTATACCTGGCAATGAATGCCACTTGGCATTAAGTCCGCCACTGTACAGTTTTTTTTGCGAAATTATAAATAAATAAATAAATATAACGATAACCGCTGTGTTTTGTATGGAGTTTGACAGATTTCTGACGTTTGTTAAAGTTAAAGTAAGATGGTGTAACCCAGCCTAAGATCTACTACAGACACAAACATGAATATTTTGTAATGCATATTCACTGAAATTAATATCTAGTTTTTAAGGGCTTAATTTAATTTGAAAAAAAAATCGAACTGCCTAAAGATTTTTCCCAAAAAAAAATACAAAAAGAACTCCACTATTTTGACCTGCAACAACCACCGTGATGTAGGTAGATACCCCATTAGCGAACGTGCAACGCATGCACCTGATTTCACGGTGGATTACTATTCGATAAATCACCTACGGACATAATCGAACACTAAAATCACAATGCTTCGTTAAAGGCGTCAGTTCTGTGCGCGAAACGCCCAATCACTATTTTTAATACGGACCAAAACGGTCGCAGTGAACGTGTTAATACAAACCGTGAATGGTAGCTGATTATATTGTTTTCTTGGGTTTGGGGTCCGATCGGGACGTTAATCGAAAAACGATGGGCAATAATGTAAGCAACGAAAGGTGTGGTGGTTCCGTACTCTTAATTTGTGGTCCTATGGCTGAGATGATGATGATGATGATGATGATGAATTTGTGGTCAAGAAAATGATGCTCCTTGAAATTATAACCTTGGTATAAAAATTAGGGTTCTATTATGATGAGAGTCCTAATCAGTACTTTTCTCCAGTATTATGTTCATGAAGTTACTGATTTGATAATGCCCTATAATTGTAAAACCTATCTATTCTGACAAGAATGTTCTCACGCCTACAATATACTGCATTATAGCTGCATTTTGATATATGACAAATTTTCCTTCACGTCTTATTGTAAAATTATGGCCAAGAAAACTGGCATGAGGCTAAGTTGCACCACCTAACTTTAATAGTAACTATAACGATAACCGGTGTGTTTTGTATGGAGTTTGACATATCTGATGTTTGATAAAGTCCAAAGTAAGATGGTGCAACTCAACCTGAAATACAAACATTTGACCAAGAAAAGACCTTAATACGGTCACGTATATCACAATGGTTCTCTTTCCGTTGACCCCTAAAAATGCGTTTTCATCCGATAGTCGGGACTTCGGGAGTCTATTACGTGCACAATGCCTGATGGATCGGCGAGGGGACTGAAACCTAAACTTTCGTTCGGATTAATTAAATAAGATTTGCGATATACGATGATGGGTCCGATTCTGAGCTGGTTTTAGGCTAAAGCTAAGATCAGTGTCCACTATAGTCTATCCAATATAGCTTGATTAGAATGACAGCTGCCATCAAAAGTAACGACATAACTTTGTAGTAGCGATCAATGAGAGCTAAATATTGGCGGACAAGAAATAATTCACGTCTGACCTACAAACAATATTTTCGACGACAGTGCTTCCAATAAAAATGTTAATTTCGTGTAAATGCAGCGTTAAATTACACCAATAAGTAGTAATTCGAAATTATAAAAATCAAGCTAGAGTATTAACGACGTCTCTACAAGGTTATCTCGAGTTACAAAAATGTTAGTGTTGGGACATATCGACAAATGTCATATTAAATTAAAACTAATTTTTTAACATATTTAAC